CGTTACGGCGTACTGCTGACACATCATTATTAGTTACTTATAAAAAAATTTACAGAGGTCATTTACCAAACGTATTTTAATGGCACATACAAACTAACGAAATGTAAACGTTGAGAGCAGTTTCAAATTGAGTCTGTCTGGCTACGAGGTCTAAATAAAAGCTGTACGCTCCTTGAACATTTATTACAATGCAAAGGTAATTCTTACTTACATAACATAGAGATGAAACTTATTAACCATTACAGAGTCAGCAACACAATTTTATGAAACCGATACCATGGGCTACAAATAGAACTAGAACAAGATCATTAAATTTTTTAGAACTTTAACGCTCCCTGATCCGTAAGACAGATGTCTAGCCAACCAAAAATCCAGATATTTGATGGCGAGATATAGAAATGTCGGAGATTTCACAATTATATTGGAGATGTACAAGGTTTTCCTAACTCAGCAAACAACGTCAGTGATGGGAATGAATAACGCACCGATGTGTGTTCAAATAAAATGTGATGTTAGGCGTTTGTTTTTAAACTCATCATCATATACCCGAAAATGCCTCACGTTTTATAACTTAGGTGGTAGTTAAAGACCGTCACCTACTTCAAAACCCGGCTACCATCTGTGAAGCAGTTAGATCAATATTTGCCACCTCCATAGGCTTGAAGACAGACTGCGTTTTTGAACGCGGGTGAAAAGAACTGGCCCTCGAGAAAAAATTGTCATTTCGCTTTTCACTTTCACTGAGAGATTAATATTGTTAAACGCTGCCATATCCTGGATACTATTTCAGAACATTAGAGTGAGTAATTACACAGAGGTGTGACAAACGGCGGTTTACAATGGTAAAAAGATTTCGATCGATTTTTGATAATACAACAACAATGGTGTTTAATCAGAGTTGCTACACTTGCACAAAATAGTGCAAATATGCTCTATATTCATTTCGGTAGCATAACACTACGGGAGAAAACAAAATAAAAATTTAATGCAGTTAGTTCCCTTCAACATTTTGTAAAGCACGGAAAGAAGACGAAGGCTGGTAGATGCATGCGCTTCGTTTGTCTCCTAAGTACCATTAACTATAACCGATATGCATAGATATAGATAACAGTGGGTGCAAGCTTAAGGTGCAACCGAATGATAGAAGTTCCCACTTACTTCGAAGGCAGCTTTAGGTTGAAAAATAATTGTTTCTGAACAAACAAGGCTAGCTTAATCCGGTTTATAGCGACAGCCTCAGCAAACCGAAGGAAGCGGGGATTAGTGTGGCGTAACACAACTTTAAACGCTGAGCCCAGCTCTAATTGGTGACCCGAGTCTATTAGGTGTTTGCCTATCGAGCAAGCCAGCGGTCTCTTCGAACATGGAGTCTGACTAGTGTAGGCAATCTGCGCAAATTTACGTTGAACCAGTCTTGGTACATGTTCCTTTATTCGGGAAGTCAGCGTTCTATTGGATCTGCCTATGTAACTTTTTCCAGAGTCAATTACAAATTAGGATACACAGTGCGATTTAGCCCCAATAGGCTGAGCTTCCTTCGTTGGAGGTTTGGGCAAATTGCCGGTTCGGTTGATGACGACAACATGTGCATCATAGTAACTTCATTGTGCAGCCGAAATTATGCGCTTAGTTGTCTTCAGCGTGGCTTAGTCATCATATATATATACATATATACATTTTGAATATGATGAAAATATCATTGTTTTAGCTTTTTGTGTTTCTTGGAAGTATTTTGTAGAAATTTAGGTACAAGTCAGTTTCATTTCTAATACTAAAAATTCGGACCAAAAATACTTGTTTTCATCGCTTGCTTTCCACGATCTTGTTATCGCCATTTTCTCCGTAAATTGGCCGCCATCCTGTTTTCGGATTATTCACAATACCGAAGCAGTCATCCTGCGGTACTTGCTCCAAACTAGTCGGAAACCGTTCAAATACCCTCACGTTTGTTTTGTGCCAAGATAAATACCACATTCATGTGTTGGGTTATCAGTTGAGCATTTTCATTGTGTTCGCGAGATCCAACACGATTTTGCCCAAAACAAATGTGAAAATTGAGGAAATAAGATACAGTCAGGACGAGTAAAGCCGACGTGTAGGCCCAAGCGGTTCATTGGGAAAAGCTCCGTGTGTTTGGTCTAATAACCTACCCCGAAGATCCTTCAGGTTTCAGCTCAGTCGTCCTCTTCTACCCGTGCAAACTCACCGAAACGAAGTCCAACCGATGTGAGAATCCGTTTCATCTTACATAAATTGTTTACCTTTGTTGTGTCCAACGGACACCGATGTCCCAGCAGGTGAATGTTTGACTACTGAAGGCCAGTAGAAAAAACAAAGAAGGAAATTACGAAGGGACGTTGGGCGTTTAAGTTCCAGGGTATAATTGACAGACTCCTCGAAGGTGGTAGGGACTCGGTAAAAGTGAGGCAAAGTAACCGTCTTAAAAAGCAAGGTGGCCAACGAAGTCTGCCTATGAGAATTACTTTTGTGGACAAAGCCAGTCCAAGCCTGATCATGTCCCGCCTAAGTAGGCTGAAAGGTTTGAAGATCCATGATCGTCCAGACCTGGACCAAGAGGAGAGGGAGCGGCTCAAGCCTGCCATCATTGTGCTGAAAAGAAGCACCGGTGAGGAGGAAACGTAGCTTCCTATCGTAGATATTCGGGAAGTTTCCAACAATCGCTGAATCAAGATAAACCGGCTGCTCACACTTTAAACACACACGGCGACTCCTGCTGTGGCTTGCGAGTAGCCTTCACAAACGTTTACGGTGTTAGGAATAAGGGCGTCTGAGCTGCCAGACGTAGTGGGACTCGCAGAGACATGGCTGCATGAAGACTTATACACCCAAGAACATGAACTCAATGGTTACTAGTGCTTCCGATTCGATAGACTAAAGAATGCCCACGGTAATGTCTTGCTTTACATCCGGTCTTCCCTGCGTGGGAGACTTGTGAGCACCTACCGCAGTGACGATGGTATATGTGAGCTACTTTCATGCTCCGTCCGCCTCAGGTGCGGAGAACTGCTTGCGGGCGCAGTTTAGCGCAGTCCCCTGAGTCGTTGTTTGGATTGGCTGTCCATTCCTCGGACCTGCATAAGTCGTTCACACATTCTACTTATGGGCCATTTTAACAGTCTTCGAATACGATGGCGTGATGTGCGTTTGATGCATGGACATAGTGAGGTTGAAGCAAAGTTCGTGGATTTGGTACTTGAAGCTGGTGCAACGCAACACATATGAAAGCCAACACGAATAACAACAAGTTCATCCCCGTCCCGCCTCGATCTGACGTTAAGGAGCTACGAAAAACGAGTGCGTGACGCTAGGATCCTGTAGCCTATGAGGTCGCATTGCACATGCACTTTTAATTCCGTTACACTATCTTCGGAACGGAAGATTTCATCATCACGTGCACGTGTACGTAACTCCGAGGTCAACGTAACAAAACTACTAGTTATCGAGATTGCCTTGGATACCACTTTCTCACATCGTGTACTTAAGTCGCTTGACATATATCACGACCGAGGTCAACATAACAAAACTATTTCATTCTTATCGAGATTGTCTCGGATACCACATTCTCACATTGTGTACTTCTCTTCCCCTTGACCTACATTCACACATCGTACTACTTACGGCCCACATGTTTGAACGCCTGAATGAAGCATTATATAAACCGTATAGTACATCGACAACGACACCCGACCGACTACAACGAACGTCACACGACCGTCCCGACTGGTGCTTTGACAACCGTCACAAAAAGCGCTACGCCCACGACGACAAGACAATCCTCACACGACCGGACAGGCCGCGACCTACAATTTCCCCACGAACAGGATTTGTGCTGTGAGATAAGTCACCACTTTCTCATTACCTTATTTTTGAGTTACACTATTAAATTCTATTTCGTACATTGTATTCTTAGGGCCGGCCTCTCCTTTTTATGTCTTTACTGTACTGATACACAACGAACACGCCTCAATACTTATACTTCATTTTTGTTAGTGCACACCTTCTGATATTTTCAATCCGCCAACTAGTCGTAGTAACCTACTAAGCCACTAACAATTGGTGACCCCGACGTAAGCAAGTAGGCAGAAACCAACTGCAGTAAACTATCGTGTGTTAGGGAATTTCTCTCATACATCCAAACGGCAGCATCACGAACTCATATAAGATGGATGACAGTAACGAACCTCAAACCAACGTAGTGTCACTTCACTTACCACCTTTTTGGCACAGCGATCCGGCCATTTGGTTTACGCAAGTTCAAGCACAATTTGCCCTCCGCAGAATTACACAGGAGATGACAATGTTCTATCATGTGCTTGCCGCATTACCATCAGAAGTAGTTGCCGATGTTCGAGATATTTTGTTATCTCCCGACCCCATCACTCCATTCCAACAGCTCCGCGATGCTCTAATCCGTCGTACCTCAATTTCAGAACACAAAAGGCTAGAACAACTTCTAGCAGATGAAGCACTGGGAGACCTGACACCATCGCAACTCCTGCGCCGTTTGATTTGCGTTAAGGGAGAACGAAAGATAGACACTGGTCTATTCACCCAAATATTTTTAAAACGGCTACCTCAACATGTCCAAGCCATTCTAGCCCCATCCGTAACGGAAGTTCCAATTGATAAGTTGGCAATGATGGCGGACCGTATACTGGATGTCCAACCGCAGGTCAACTCGCTAGACCACCATACCCCCGGCCCATCAAATAACGATTTATCAGATCGGATAACACGATTGTCACAACAGCTAAATGAGATGAGCATCTCTAGGGCACCTCATTTCAGACGTCGATTGCGATCTCCTTCCCGCAACTCCAAATGCCGTAATTTCCCCCGATCTCCTTCACGTTTTTACTCACATACTTCTTCCTCTAGTCAGGCATTGAACCCCGCATTTTGTTGGTACCATCAGACATTTGGACCAGAGGCAAAGAAATGTAGACACCCCTGCACATTTAAGTCACAACTAAGAGTGGATTTTAAGGCTCCGGGAAACGAATAGGGCGGATCTGCGAGGCGACCATGATCTGCCCGACACATACCAATCGCCGACTGATCATACAGGACCGGACATCCGGACTACATTTCTTGATCGACACGGGAGCGGACATCAGTGTCATACCCCCTTCTCAAAGCCAGCATGCCCTCAAACAGAGCTCACTACGACTGACTGCAGCTAATGGTACGTGTATTTCCACTTTTGGACAACGCTCCTTAACTCTGAACCTTGGTTTACGTCGCTCTTTCACATGGGTATTCATCGTAGCGGATGTCAAACAGCCCTTACTTGGTGCCGATTTTTTGACCCATTTTAGATTGTTAGTCGATCTTAACAATCGTTGTCTCCGAGATTTGACAACCAGATTACCTGTTACTGGTCAGACTACTACAATGCCATCATCCCCACCAAGCCTTTTTACCGCGAATATGTTTGATTCTTCATTCTCCGCAATTTTACGTGATTTTCCCGCTCTCTTAAAACCGAAGTTCCATCAGACGGAGATTAAACACGACGTAACCCATCGCATAGTAACCCAAGGTAATCCAGTGTACGCTCGGCCACGTCGAATGAATCCTGATAGGATGAAAATAGCTAAGGCTGAGTTCCAACACATGCTTCAATTAGGAATAATACGTCCCTCACAAAGCACTTGGTCATCACCTCTACACATGGTACCGAAATCAGATCCAAATGACTGGCGACCCTGTGGCGACTACAGAGCTCTAAACAATGTTACAGTGCCCGACAGATACCCCATCCCACATATACAGGATTTCACATCGAACATTGCTGGTAGCGTAATCTTCTCGCACATCGATATATTCAGAGCATACCACCATATTCCGGTGCATCCTGACGATATACATAAGACCGCAGTTACTACTCCGTTCGGTATGTTCGAATTTTTACGTATGCCTTTTGGATTGCGTAACGCTGCGCAAACTTTTCAACGGTTTATTGATCAAGTCTTACATGGTCTACCTTTCGTTTTCGCGTACTTGGACGATATTTTAATAGCCAGTAAGACACCAGAAGAGCACAAACAACATTTGCGTACGTTATTTCAGCGTCTAGACAAATTTGGTATCACCATCAACCTACGAAAGAGCACCCTAGGAGTTCCGTCATTAAATTACCTAGGTCACCGAATCGATAGCACTGGTCTGACACCAACAGATCACAACTCGTTATCGCTCACAACGTATCCTTCCCCGACATCCTTCCGCCAACTCAAGAGGTTTCTGGGAATGATTAATTATTACCGACGTTTCATCCCGCATGCAGCCGAGATTTTAGCTCCTCTAACAAATCTCTTGGTTGGACCTCAGAAACATTATGAAATGTCCGATGCCGCTACGCAAGCTTTCACGCAAATAAAAAGCGTTCTTAAAAATCAATTGAATCTGTTTCATATCCGTCCGGACGCAACGTTGTCTCTTCACACCGACGCTTCCAATACAGCCGTCGGAGCAGTCCTGAATCAACACGTTAATAATCAACTGCAACCCATTGGCTTCTTCTCAAAAAATTGACGACGACGGAAACTCACTATAGCACCTTTGGCCGGGAACTTTTAGCCATTTATCTAGCTATTAAGCACTTTCGACATCTTCTCGAAGGCCGTGAATTTTGTGTTTTTACTGACCACAAGCCGTTAGTCTCCGCCTTCCTTGCTAAGCCCGACCGCTATTCACCTCGTGAGATTCGTCATCTCGATTACATCTCACAGTTCACATGCGACATTAGACACATAACTGGTGCTAGTAATATTGTAGCGGATAACTTGTCCCGACCGGCTGTCGACGAGATCACCGGTATATCCTCCATCGATTTCCAACGCATGGCACGACTGCAGAAAGCTATGCCACTACCGACGCATACGGATAAGCAATCCTCATCGTTGAAGATACGACCATTTCCGATACCTTCGGCACCAGGTACTATTGACTGTGATATGGCGACAAATAACCCCAGACCATGGGTACCCGAACCTATGCGTAGAGAAATATTTAACGCCCTTCATAACGTTTCTCACCCTGGAATCCGCGCGACCCTTCGTTTAATAGCGCAACGTTTTGTTTGGCCGAATATGAACGTGGACATACGCAAATGGGCTAAACATTGCATACCGTGTCAACGTTCTAAGGTCGTTCGGCATACGCACTCTGATACTGGTACTTTCGCACAACCAGATCGCAGATTCGACCATATTCATATTGATATAGTTGGTCCACTACCCCATTCAAACGGAAATTCATACATTCTGACTTGTATAGACCGTTTCACTCGATGGCCTGAAGCCATTCCTATTGCGGACACATCGACAGAAACTATTGCTCGCGCACTGATTACCAGATGGATTGCCATTTTCGGTGTCCCTTCCTACATAACCACTGATCGAGGTTCACAGTTCGAGTCACATCTTTTTCAGCAACTGACCGAACTACTCGGTTGCAAACGTATACGTACAACGGCCTATCACCCACAAGCGAACGGTTTAGTCGAACGTTTTCATCGACACTTAAAAACCGCTCTCAAAGCAAACGGTGATTCAGCTAGATGGACAGAACAACTCCCACTCATCCTACTTCACATACGCACGATGTTTCGTAAAACACTGAACTGTTCACCGGCTGAGTTGGTCTTTGGCACAACATTACGTATACCCGGCCAATTTTTCACACCTGACACAGCAGTACTCAGTGACCCTCCAACGTATGTGGCTCGTCTGAAAACGCACATGAGCAAACTACAATACTGCGCATCCACTTTCACAACAAAACTACCCCACATTCCTCCAGAACTTTCGACCTGTACCCATGTTTTCATTCGCACTGACAGGGTAAAACAACCTTTACAACCTCCTTATGAGGGCCCATTTCCGGTACTTTCACGCCAAGAGAAATACTTCACCATTCTATGGCGTGGCAAACCTGATACTATCAGCATAGATCGTTTGAAACCGGCGTATACGGATTCAGTGGAGACATACCACACGGACAACGATCCAACACGCACTGACAAGGCCAAGACGCTGACGATCGACAATACACGACCACCCACAATTCCGGGACGAAATCAAGAACGCACCACGCGATCTGGAAGACAGGTACATTGGCCTGACCGTTTTGTTGCAGGCTGACACAACTCAGGCCCCGATGCATACCCTTTTTCAAGGAGGAGGGTATTGTGAGGTCGCATTGCACATGCACTTTTAATTCCGTTACACTATCTTCGGAACGGAAGATTTCATCACCACGTGCACGTGTACGTAACTCCGAGGTCAACATAACAAAACTACTAGTTTTATCGAGATTGTCTCGGATACCACCTTCTCACATCGTGTACTTAAGTCGCTTGCCCTACATCACGACCGAGGTCAACATAACAAAACTGTTTCATTCTTATCGAGGTTGTCTCGGATACCACATTCTCACAGTGTGTACTTCTCTTCCCCTTGACCTACATTCACACATCGTACTACTTACGGCCCACATGTTTGAACGCCTGAATGAAGCATTATATAAACCGTATAGTACATCGACAACCACACCCGACCGACTACAACGAACGCCACACGACCGTCCCGACTGGTGCTTTGACAACCGTCACAAAAAGCGCTACGCCCACGACGACAAGACAATCCTCACACGACCGGACAGGCCGCGACCTACAATTTCCCCACGAACAGGATTTGTGCTGTGAGATAAGTCACCACTTTCTCATTACCTTATTTTTGAGTTACACTATTAAATTCTATTTCGTACATTGTATTCTTAGGGCCGGCCTCTCTTTTTTATGTCTTTACTGTACTGATACACAACGAACACGCCTCAATACTTATACTTCATTTTTGTTAGTGCACACCTTCTGATATTTTCAATCCGCCAACTAGTCGTAGTAACCATTATAAGCCACTAACAAGCCCTTGGCTACGAGCGACCACTCAGTACTTATAGCTGATATGGAATTAACTTTGCCGTATTCATATCCTCTGCAACCAGGTCGCAACTACTGGAAAACTTGCTTTAATGTTTTAGCTCAAGCCGCCAGCCAACTGAATTAATCTCTGTCACAAGCTGCATCTGGGGAAGTTGTTTGGATATTTATAAAAGTGAGATTGACTTAATTGTGTTCCCTATTTATGCCATTGAATTGTCAGAAGTTTGGACCGAGCAAGCCTCATTGGTTTGACAAGGAGTATGGAAGCCTGGCTGGGAGGAGGCGCAGACTTGGGATAAATTCCTCCTACCCTGCTCTGCCAATGATTACGAAGGGTATAAATGGCACCGGCACCTCTGCAACTGTGCAAAAAAGAATAAACGCCATTTCGAAGAGCAGCTCGCATTAGCCGTGAATACCGCCCCAATGAGCATCTTTGCATACGTAAAAGCGACGCTGAAGGCGACAAGTGAAGTGGTCAGTGCTCGGTTGCACGAATAAGCAGCCCCTAACCTCCAACCCTGCAGGTGCGTCTGTTTTGGCGACGCACTTCGCTTCTTTATTTGCGAATAACCAAGTGTCTGTTCCGAGTTCGACATGTACCGCTTTTACCGAACTCGATAGTCTACATTGCGGCAGTGAAGTGGTAGCTCAACTACTCGCCAACCTTGACGGCACCAAACCTGCCGGACCCGATGGGCTTCATTCCCTGGTTCGCAAGTCACTTTCAACCACCCACTCTCCTGACTTGACTGACCTTTTCAACAGGTCGCTGTCCGAAGGTTTGTTGCCGGTTGACTGGAAATGTTCGGCGATAAAGCCTATTTCGAAAGGCGGCGACCCTAGCAAAGTAGACAATTACAGGCCAAATTGTCTGACACATAATTTGGCAACGGTTGCTACGAAACTCTTGAATTAGGGATTGCTGCAGTTGCTACTGACCGACGAGGTCCTGACTCCCGCGCAGCACGGTTTTATGCAAGGTAGCTCATGCAATACGAACCTGCTTGTGACGAGGCTTGAGTGGTTGAAGGCAATAAACAAGGGGAAGTCCGTCGATGTGATATTCATTGATTTTATTAATGCTTTCGAAAACGTCAGCCATGAGGTTTCCTTTCACAAACTCAGAATGTGTAGTATCAGTGGCTCACTGCAACGGTGGATCCGCGAATTTCTTGTAAGACGAAAGTGGAGTGTACAGCTTGAAAACCATCTAACTGAGTGGTATCCCTTTACAAGTGGAGTGCCCCAAGGCACTTGGCTGGGGCCCACTCTGTTCCTGATTCATATCAATAATCCGTCTCAGCTTCTCCGGTTGCCATGTGCCTTGTTTGCGGACGACATGAAGATTTAGAGAGAAATTGACGCTCCCGATGTCTGTGGTCTACTTAAGCTAGACCTCAAACGCCTATCCACAGGGTCTGCAGAAGAGCTGC